CTGCAATCCCTTCTCCATTCTCCTCTCGGGATCTTGGGCATGCACGCACACGCGCCCGGCGTGAGTTTTAAGCCACCGGGTCTGGGATATTTCTGTCTTAAATAGATAGTGCTCCATACAAGGAAGTAAAAGGGAGCAGGCGCTCTTCTCTAAACTTGGCATTCTAAATTTCTCTACTGAACTATGCTATTGTTCAAAAGTATTAATGGGTGAAAAAGGCATTTTGAGATTCAAGCTGGAAGAGTTTCCTACCAAGAGGTCCTTAGAGAAGGTGCAGAAAGGAGAGAGACCAGAGTAAGGAGGAGGAGTATGGTTAAAAGAATCAAGAAGCAAATGAAAGTATCTACATAAATGCTGAGTTCAAAAATTAAAAATGAATCACTGTCTCTTTCCGCCATCTTTCTGTGCCGCCATAATGGTGTGCATGAATGTCCTGGCTGATGCCCTCAAGAGCATCAATAATGCTGAAAAGAGAGGGAAACGCCAGGTTCTGATTAGGCCATGCTCCATAGTCTAGTTTCTAACTGTGATGATGAAGCATGGTTACACTGGCGAATTTGAAATCACTGATGACCACAGAGCTGGAAAAATTGTTGTGAACCTCACTGGCAGGTTAAATAAGTGTGGAGTGATCAGCCCCAGATTTGATGTGCAACTCAAAGATCTAGAGACATGGCAGAATAATCAGCTCCCGTAGTGTCGGTTTGATTTCATGGTACTGCCAACCGCAGCTGGCATCATGGACCATGAAGAAGCAAGACGGAAACATACAGGAGGGAAAATCCTGGGATTCTTTTCCTAGGGATGTAGTACACATATACAAAAAAAATGCTTCATTGGGGAAAAAAAAAAAAAAGAATCACTGTTGAGCTGGCTCGATGGTGCATGCATCCACGATTCTGGTTGGCTGGGAAGATAGGTGAAGGAGTGGTTTGTGACGAAAGGTGCTTATCTTCCTCTCTCTCACGTTCATCAAATAAATTTCAAAAAAATAAACATGAGTAAAAATTAATCGCTGTTGAAGGGTTTTGAAACAAGATAACATGAAAATCCTAGGTAAAAAAAAAACACAAAAGATTGGGATGACCTCGTGTGAAAGTGCTCTGAGATCTTTAAGTTATCTGGTTAAAAGACAGAGATTCTAATGAACTTCAGTCTTTCCACAAAATCCAGATTGCAAGCTAAAAATTTAAGGATATGGGGCCAGCTCCGTGACACAGTACTAATGTGCAACACAAGAGAAGCCAGATCCTGAATGGTGATCACGGTTCAAATTCCCAGCCCAGTCTACCTGAAATATGTCAGGCATGTGCATAGGTGCCCAAGATCTGCTGGACTGAAGGCAGGAGAGAGCAGCATGACCAGACTCTAGAGGGCGCTCCTCTCTCTCTCTCTCTCTCTCTCTCTCTCTCTCACTCTTACATGCATGCACAGGCGCTTCATCGTGAATAAACAAACAAAAAAGATTTAACAATTTAATGGTAATCACTAAAGAACATAAATGGAATGGGTAGCTTCAAAACCAGAAGGATTTTTAAAAAAAAAGCATTAACAAGCTAATGGAGTACAAAAAAGAAGCGAAAATAAAGCATGGGAAATTTTTTTTAAAATACAAAAGCATATGGTGAATGAAAGTAAGTTCAAAGCTCACAGTAACCTCACTAAGGAAACAATCTATTAAAAGAGCTACTCAGATTAAATCAAATACTAAATATTTACAATATATTTCTTCATACGAAGTAATAAAGCAAGATAACCAGAAAGGTTGGGAATGACAGGAAAAGATACAGTTAAAATCTAATTTTTAATAAACCTGGTGTACTAACAATAATATTAGAAAGAATAGACTGTAAAGCAAAAAGCCTTGATGGTGCAAAAGAAAGTCACTGTTTACTAATTAAAGAGACAAACTTGGCCCAACCTAAAGCAAAGTTGGTAGCAAACTGAAACCCTATGTTGGAAGTCATGGGCCGACTGTAGGTTCATATCCTAGGGTCAGCCTGAAAATATGCGAGGCATGTGGGTGCATGCCCAAGATCCTAATGGGCTGGAGGGCTGAGATCAGGTGATCACAATGCGCAGAGACCCTGTCAGGGTGTTTGACTCTGTCCTCCTCTCTTTTCCTCATGTAGGCATAAGCTCTCTTTCTGAATAAAGTGGAAAAACAACCAAAAAAAGGAGAAATAAATTCTAGGAAGACCTAGCAATCCTAAGTCTGTAAGTATTTAGCCCCACTAGAAAAAATAGACAGGAAAAATGGACGGCGTTTCAAAGAAAACTTGTTGAATCACAATCTTGGTGCAAGATTTTTATATACCTCTCAAACAACTAAGCAAGCAATTTAGCAGAAACATAATAGGTTTGAAAATGTAAGCTTGAGATAATGAACAATTATGGAAACTTTTCTCCATCATGTAAAACACTTAGAAAAACTGATTACAGACTGGGAGGAAGGAGGGAATAAGGTAGACTGATAAAGGGTCCCTGGTTTTAGGGGGTCAAAAACATTCCAAAATTTGATTGTGCTAATGGTTGAACAACTCTAAAAACTTACTAATAACTATTGAGTTTTTAGACTGTAAATGGGTGAATTACATGGTACGTAAATCATATTTCAAAATTGCTTTAAAATAGCTTTTTAGATCCAGGTGGTGGCACAACTAGATATACTTCAGAGAAGTTTGGAGTTTGCAACTAGAGCTGCCCCTGGTGCCTGCGATCTGAGCTGGCTAAGACTGGTGGTGTATCATGGCATTCAGACCCTATTGGAGCTGCCTATTCCTCTGTCTCTCTCTTCCAAGAAAGAAATAAACTTTAAAAATAAATAACTAAGGGGTTGGCAGGTGGCATGGTGGTTGGGGTGCTGGACTCCCACATGGCTGACTGCAGTTCGAGTCCTGGACCTTGTGGCTTGCTTTCTCACTTTCCCTTTCTCTCTCTTGCTGTCTCTCTCTAGTCAAGTTAAAAATAATAATAATAATAAACAATAATGGAATTAAACAAATACATTTTTAATTAAAAAATAAAGAAATAAAAATACTTTTTAAAATGTGACTACAAACTACATAATTGAAGACTTACAAATACCAAAAATCAACATCACATAGTGAAATCCATAGAACATTTACAAAAATTGCTCAATAAAAGTCTCGACGGCCACGCTGAGCCTATAACCTTATAGCCTATAACCTTATAGTTAAGGTGACCACATGGTCACCTGTGGTTCGAATCCTAGACCTGGCAGCTTGAAGAACACACCAGACACGTGTGTAGGTGTGCCCCAAATTCTAACAGGGTGGAGAAGTGCAAAACCATGACCCACTGGGGTGTGTATTTTCCCATTCCCTCTATCTCTGTCTCACTCTGGCAAGCACACATACCCTATGGCAATTGAAAAAAAACAATCTCAATGGTCATAAAATAATATAGATTATATCTTCTAATTTCAATGAAATAAGTTAGAAACCAATAATAAAAGGTTGAAAAATTCATTATTTTATTTTTTTTTAAAAATCTCTGGCCAGAGAGAGACAGACAGACAAGAGACAAGAAAACACCCCCCAATGGGGTGTGGTTATGCCTCAATCTTTTCACCTCCATCTTATTGGGATTTTGGGCACGCATGCACACATACCTCCAGCATATTTTTCAAGCCACCAGAACAGGATTCAAATTGCAGTCATCCACGTGGGATCCAGTTCTCTTAACTACTAGGCCACAGGGCCACCCCTTTTTTTTATTTCAAGAGGGCACGTGCACTCACCAGAGAGCAAGTGTGTAATAAGAAAAAAACCTCATTTTTTATAAGAATTATTTAATTTAACTTTATTTATGTATTTATTTATTTTAATTTGACCAAAGAGGGACAGAGTGAGAAAGAGAGTGAGAGCACGAGAGAAAGTGAGAAAACAAGCTGCCAGGTCTGAGACTCAAACCAGGGTTGGCCATGTGGGAGTCCAGTGCCTTTAACCGCCATGACACCGCTGGCCCTAAAAACTCCATATTTTAAGACTAAAGAATACTCTTTTAAATAATTTGTGGGTGAAGAAAAAAATCATAATGAAAAGCATGAACTATGCAGAACTAAATTACAATGAAAGTACTGCATAGTAAAACTGGTATCCTTCAGCTAAAGTAGTAATTTTAGAGAAATCTGTAGCCTAAATGTATGTATTGGAAAACAAAAAAGACCTAGATATTCAATTCAAAAGAGAGTAAAAGGACAGGGTAAACCAAAGGAAGGAAGTAATGAACAATAAAAATTAATGGCATTGCCTCTATCCCCAGCTAATTATCAGTCATTCAAGCAAACATCTACATGCAAAAACATACTTCCAGAGGAGGAAAGCCATTAGGTATTATTTATAATAACAAAAATTAGAAACATAAACATCTAACAATAGTGATGTGATTAAGAAATGATGGTCCATTCATACATAGGATAACAAATAGTCAATAAAACAATGTGTTCCGTGGGAAAAGCATTCTAAGGACAAGAACAAAGCAACATATGAATTGTATTTACGGTATGACTTCATTTTTATAAGACAGATATAACCTTATGATGTGTTATGAAAAAAGGCTGGAAGGAAATAAAAATGTTGATGTGGTTTAATTTTTCTCTTTACTCCTTTGTGCTTTTCAACCTTTAAAGAATACTTGCTTATTTCATAATCAGAAAGACAACAAATCTGACTTCTCACAACAAATATACAAAAAGCCACAAACATAAAGAAGTTTGTGACCTGTGCAACCACCTAGCATGAACTGAACAACAGAATGCCTGATTATGCCTAGAATCTGCTAGGAATTTCAAGCTCAAATTCTCCTGACCATTCCCCTAGGCCTTAGCTTGACTGTCCCAGTCTGCCACAGTGAATCTTCAAGAAGTGAAGGAAAGATACAAAATGGGCAGTTCCTGCCTCCTCCAGGACTGGAGGGCCCCAAGGACCTTGTTCCCTGTTTTACAAGCATGCTCTGGCCTCTGGGCAAACTTCTACAGTAGCACTTATAAGCTTACCTGCTTCAGTCACTGTTTTAAACCAGTCCAGCAGCTTCTCCAAACAAGTGTCATCTGCCACCAGCTGCCTGGGATCTGCCAGAACAGCACAGAGGTCCGGGAGGAGCCGGGAGCATTCAGGGTCCATGATGAGGCTGGAGGTTCCTACAAAGGAAGGTGGGCCAGACCTCAATGCACAGTTCCAGGCCCCACCTGGCCTAGATGCAGCTCAGATGCCTGCTCAGGCCTGGGATGAGGCCTAGACCACAGCTCTGAGCAGCTGGGATGGATGCAAAGCCTCTGTCTGTGTAGGGTCTAAGTAGTCAAGAGCAGGCAGGGCCCTGAGTCCTGGGGGCCGGATAGAAGGGAGAGGTAAATCTGGACTAAATCACAGGGCTTTGGAGCTCAAAGCCTGTTAGCCTTGGACTTTGGACTGGAGGTCAGGGAGAAGTGAATGGTGCTGACCCAGGCTACAGAAGGGCCAGTCAAGATCGTCTGTGAGTTCTGGGGACAGCTATGTGCTCAGACTGTCTATCACCCCACACCCACACCCACCCACCCTCTACCCCCGGCCCCAGGATCAGTTGCTGATAGAAAGTGTCTGTCCATCCCAGGGTCAGTGGTGGCTGTATTGGACAGTCCTTCGCGCAGCAGTGGTGTCGGGCAGGGAAGGTGCGACTGTGTGTCTGTCCCTCCCAGGACCAAGGTGTACATCCCACGTGTCCCGCCTGTGAGGTGACTGGGGGTGTCTGCAGGGCTTTGTGGGGAGGGGTAGTGAGCGGATGTCGCGTGGGGCATCTGAATATCCACCAGCAGGATGCTACGTCCACAACTTGGAATATGATCTGGGTTCCTGGCCCGCCCCGCGCCACGCTCGAAGGTCCAGGCCCGACGCCGGCAGCAGTGGTGGAGCCGGGAACTGAGACCAGGTCTGCGTACGTCCCCTCCTGAGCTACTCTTCCGCCTGCCTGCATCCTCCGATGGGGCTTGGACTCCGCCTCCCCGCGACACCCGCGACGTAGACCACGACCCCAGCCCCAAGTACCTGCCTCACCGGTTCTGGTTCCGTCCATCCTCCGCAGGTCACGCCCTTACCTCTGAAGGCTCCGCCCCCGGACTATGCCATCTGCCAGACCTAGAGGGGACTGAGGAGAAAGACAGGAGTGGGGGACAGCGACAGCTTTTCTGGAGAGACTGTCCAGGTTGCCTAGAGAGCGTAGACGTGGGGAATGTGCTCAAGCTGACAAGGTTGGGGACAGACTGGCGTCAAACCAGTCGCTGCGACGTGCCATCCCCGCCAGTATTCTCGTGGTATGTGCTCCAGCATCCCGAGAGTGGAGTGTCCTGAAGGCGGGGCTTTTGGAGGAAGGGGCGGGTCCTCGCCAGACTGGGGACAGTGTCTGGTCCGGCTGGAAGGATTAATACTCCTGCCAGAAAGAGGTGTTCTGGTCAGTGAGCCAAAGTGCTTGGTCATTTGGTCTCTGAGTCTTGATACTAGGACCTTAGCTGTGTGCCAGAGGCTCTCAAAACCGGTTGATAAACAAGACTTAGGCTTCCAGAACATCAGTTCAAAGACTGTATATATATACATACACACACACACATAGATACACACACACAAGCGTGTGTATATATATGTATATATATATAGAAATACAAAAGTAGAGCTCCTATGGATATTAAGATTAAAATGAAACTTTAAAAACATTAACTTTGGTCCTGGACCCAACACCTTGAAAATCATGCCAAACACATGTGCATGTATGCCCAAAATTCCAGGAGGAGAATAGAGAAGGGATTGCAACACGGAGAAGGGTGGCATGGTGAGGAGTATGATTTCTCACTTTCCCTCTCACTGTCTCTCTCCTGCAAGTGCATGCGCCCTATGGCAAAAACTTAAAAAATTTAACTTTGATGGTGGAGGCATTATGAACGACCACCTTTCTTGACCCTTTCATTGAGCTACTTGGATGAACATGTGAAATGCAGTTATCTTCCCTGAACTTTGATTGCTCGTTGTGAAATTAGGAATTCATAGGATACCAGATCAGGTTGTTGCGAGGGAAAATAAAGTTTTTATAACAGCACTATGCTAAGTGCTTCACTTTATATAAGAGGTCTTTTAAAAGTTCATGGAAAACGTGTTGTGAAAAGACTAAATGGATTTCAATTTTTTGCACCAAAGTGAACTCGTACTTTTAATTCCATTTGTCTGGAAACTTTTGGAAATCCCCTCATGTATGCTAACATGATTCTATAACAACACTAGGATGAATACTATATATAGTGTTCTAGTATATATAGTGTTATGAACGAGGAAACAGGCACAGAGAAGCTAACTTATAATATTTTACTGATCATGGGTTGGTACAGCTTGAGTTTGATCTCAGGCAATCAGATTCAGCCATCAGATATAAATACTGCATTACACAGGTGAACAGTTTCTTATCTGAAACTTTTGGGAACAAGCATTTTCCAGAATTCAGAATTTGCAGGTTTTACACATGTTGCATGGTACATACCTGATAAGCGTAAGATTATAATCCCAGCAGAGTCTGATGCAGCAACCCTTAATGAAATGCATTGGTGGTTCTAGGACGAAACTCATTCATATGAACTCCAAGTGAAATAGACATGACGAACAGTCTTAGCTCACAGTTTTGCCTCCAGGGAGTTGAGAGTTAAACACGTTTTGTCATCAAATGCATTCTGAAAGATTTTCAGAAGTTTTTAGAATTCAGAATCATGGCCAAAAAGTCTTAGATGTGCACTATCTTAGTAATTAAGAGAAAGGCAGGGAGTTTGGAATGCCCAGTGATGGGAGAGCAACAAGAGGTACTTATGCTCAATAGCACGGATGGTAAAAGCCTTGGTATATCATCTGCACAATATCTTGAAAGTAAATAGAAGCTTTTACACAGGTGAATGGCCTATTAAGATTTACATTTTTTTTTTTGAATAAACAACTGTGGTGATAACTCAAGAATGTAGAGTTTCTTCCTTTTAGGATGGATCATAGAACGTCTCAAAAAGGCTCAAGGCTTGCCTGGTGGTGCAGTGGGTAGCAGTAGCATACTGCATTACCGTGCTGGAAGCCACATGATTCCAAGTCAACCTGAAACATGCTGGGAGGTTTTCCGGTTGTACATCCAAGATCCTGAAGGGCTGAAGGGCTGAGGAAAGTGAGTCAAGACATGACCAGACCCTATGAGGGAACCCCTCTTGTGTATGCATGTTTTCAAGCACACAAATAAATTTAAAAACAAAAAAGGAACTGGAACTTGGGGTACAACCTTTACCCATCACTGCTCAGCAAATAGGACTTGACACAACAGAGGAGAAGCACCAGTGAGTGAAATGAACAATTTCAGAACAAATACAACTTTATTATTTTTAACACTTATTTAGAACTATTTCATTTTATTTATTGTTATTGTTTGTTTAATTTGCTATAGGACATGTGCACTTACCAGAGAGAAAGTGAGAAAGCAAGCTGCCAAGCCCAGGACTTGAACCCTAGTCAGCCATGTGGGAGTCCAGCATCTTAACCATCATGCTACCTACTGACCTCATAACTTTATTGTTTCAAATGTCATTCAAGTAATTGAACTAGCTGTGAAATGTTGCCTGGTGATTTCTTCATTCTTTTCACTGAGGTGCTTATCATGTGCCAGCCACTGTGTTGAACTTCTTTCTGTTTTCTCCTTTGATGTCAACAAAAACCCTGAAACATCTCCATTTGCAGACAAGAAAACAACAGCGAGACTGTCAACCTGGGCTTCTAACCACTAACCAGCTCAGTGTTCTCTGCTCATGGGGAGACAGCCTTGACGACACCACGTGACTTTCCTGCTTCATTGTACAGATGAGGATCAAGGGGCCGTGGACTCATAGTAGGTAGCAGTGGCGAGAAGTCGGACATTAATAACCTGGCAAGCATTCTTTCCACTGCACAGCACTACCTAAGGGGAGGACTCATTTATTCATTTATCCATTCATACCATAATAACACCACTGCGGCACTGTGCTCACTCTCAGACAACCGTTTTCAGTGCTTTGTAGATATTGACTCATTTGAGCCTCACAACAAATTTTTCCGGACATTACGTTTGAGGAGACAAAGGCCCAGAGAAGTTACAGGTCTGGCTAGACATCAAATACCTATTTATTGAGCACCTTCTGTATGCCAGATTCTGTTCCAGGTGATGGAGATACAGCCATGAACAAAGCAAAGGCCTTGCCCTCAGTAATCTTCACTCTAGTCACAGAATAGTCTTATAGGTAGTAAATGGAGAGTGGCTAGAAAAATAAAGCAGGGCAGGAGAACAGAGGCGACTGAAACTGCTGTTTTGGGAAGAGTAGAGGGCCCTGGAGGCTGTGTGAACAGGAGCAAATCACATGTGCTCCTAACTATTTAAATGAAATTTGAAGCCAAAGGCTCCTAACGATAACAAAATATATTGAATATAGTACATATTCTTCGGGTTTGTTTTGTGTTTGTTTGTTTGTTTGTTTGTTTACTGTCCTGTGGCTAGCTCAGAACGCAAGAGTCTAAAATACGAAATTAGGAAAGACAATTTCCTAAATGTCATGGCTCAGAAATAGTTGCCTGTGCAGTTGTTGAACAAGCCAGTTCTCTCACCATGACCTTAGGTACCTATTAACCGACTTCGATAGAAGAATCGCGCCTCCTACTCGTCCTATATAGTGCCAGCTCAGGCTTGTCGTCACACTTACATGCAATATACAATCAAATACGGGTGGTAGATACACTGTGCAAATGCACGCCTCTCCACAGCATTAGCCTTGTCTTTCAGTTCAGCTAGATGCTCCGCCCGGGCAATCCCGGGAGCGCTCTTGGTCAGCCAGCCAGGCATCCACAACCTCCGCGCATGCTCATGGTTGTCCTGGGCTCGCGCGACGCTGGTCACATCCGGGGATCAGCAGGTCGGCGGCGTGGTTTCCATGGCAGCGGGGTCGCGGGCTGGCGCGCGGGCAGGTTAGGAAGCTGCGGGCGGCCTGGGCTATCCTCCCAGCCCGAGTCTGATCGCTGTGCTCGTAGCGGGGAGGGGCGGCCCAGTCGTGCCGCAGCCATGTCCCTGGGCACCGAGGAGACTTTTGTCATCAAATGCATTCTGAAAGATTTTCAGAAGTTTTTAGAATTCAGAATCATGGCCAAAAAGTCTTAGATGTGCACTATCTTAGTAATTAAGAGAAAGGCAGGGAGTTTGGAATGCCCAGTGATGGGAGAGCAACAAGAGGTACTTATGCTCAATAGCACGGATGGTAAAAGCCTTGGTATATCATCTGCACAATATCTTGAAAGTAAATAGAAGCTTTTACACAGGTGAATGGCCTATTAAGATTTACATTTTTTTTTTGAATAAACAACTGTGGTGATAACTCAAGAATGTAGAGTTTCTTCCTTTTAGGATGGATCATAGAACGTCTCAAAAAGGCTCAAGGCTTGCCTGGTGGTGCAGTGGGTAGCAGTAGCATACTGCATTACCGTGCTGGAAGCCACATGATTCCAAGTCAACCTGAAACATGCTGGGAGGTTTTCCGGTTGTACATCCAAGATCCTGAAGGGCTGAAGGGCTGAGGAAAGTGAGTCAAGACATGACCAGACCCTATGAGGGAACCCCTCTTGTGTATGCATGTTTTCAAGCACACAAATAAATTTAAAAACAAAAAAGGAACTGGAACTTGGGGTACAACCTTTACCCATCACTGCTCAGCAAATAGGACTTGACACAACAGAGGAGAAGCACCAGTGAGTGAAATGAACAATTTCAGAACAAATACAACTTTATTATTTTTAACACTTATTTAGAACTATTTCATTTTATTTATTGTTATTGTTTGTTTAATTTGCTATAGGACATGTGCACTTACCAGAGAGAAAGTGAGAAAGCAAGCTGCCAAGCCCAGGACTTGAACCCTAGTCAGCCATGTGGGAGTCCAGCATCTTAACCATCATGCTACCTACTGACCTCATAACTTTATTGTTTCAAATGTCATTCAAGTAATTGAACTAGCTGTGAAATGTTGCCTGGTGATTTCTTCATTCTTTTCACTGAGGTGCTTATCATGTGCCAGCCACTGTGTTGAACTTCTTTCTGTTTTCTCCTTTGATGTCAACAAAAACCCTGAAACATCTCCATTTGCAGACAAGAAAACAACAGCGAGACTGTCAACCTGGGCTTCTAACCACTAACCAGCTCAGTGTTCTCTGCTCATGGGGAGACAGCCTTGACGACACCACGTGACTTTCCTGCTTCATTGTACAGATGAGGATCAAGGGGCCGTGGACTCATAGTAGGTAGCAGTGGCGAGAAGTCGGACATTAATAACCTGGCAAGCATTCTTTCCACTGCACAGCACTACCTAAGGGGAGGACTCATTTATTCATTTATCCATTCATACCATAATAACACCACTGCGGCACTGTGCTCACTCTCAGACAACCGTTTTCAGTGCTTTGTAGATATTGACTCATTTGAGCCTCACAACAAATTTTTCCGGACATTACGTTTGAGGAGACAAAGGCCCAGAGAAGTTACAGGTCTGGCTAGACATCAAATACCTATTTATTGAGCACCTTCTGTATGCCAGATTCTGTTCCAGGTGATGGAGATACAGCCATGAACAAAGCAAAGGCCTTGCCCTCAGTAATCTTCACTCTAGTCACAGAATAGTCTTATAGGTAGTAAATGGAGAGTGGCTAGAAAAATAAAGCAGGGCAGGAGAACAGAGGCGACTGAAACTGCTGTTTTGGGAAGAGTAGAGGGCCCTGGAGGCTGTGTGAACAGGAGCAAATCACATGTGCTCCTAACTATTTAAATGAAATTTGAAGCCAAAGGCTCCTAACGATAACAAAATATATTGAATATAGTACATATTCTTCGGGTTTGTTTTGTGTTTGTTTGTTTGTTTGTTTGTTTACTGTCCTGTGGCTAGCTCAGAACGCAAGAGTCTAAAATACGAAATTAGGAAAGACAATTTCCTAAATGTCATGGCTCAGAAATAGTTGCCTGTGCAGTTGTTGAACAAGCCAGTTCTCTCACCATGACCTTAGGTACCTATTAACCGACTTCGATAGAAGAATCGCGCCTCCTACTCGTCCTATATAGTGCCAGCTCAGGCTTGTCGTCACACTTACATGCAATATACAATCAAATACGGGTGGTAGATACACTGTGCAAATGCACGCCTCTCCACAGCATTAGCCTTGTCTTTCAGTTCAGCTAGATGCTCCGCCCGGGCAATCCCGGGAGCGCTCTTGGTCAGCCAGCCAGGCATCCACAACCTCCGCGCATGCTCATGGTTGTCCTGGGCTCGCGCGACGCTGGTCACATCCGGGGATCAGCAGGTCGGCGGCGTGGTTTCCATGGCAGCGGGGTCGCGGGCTGGCGCGCGGGCAGGTTAGGAAGCTGCGGGCGGCCTGGGCTATCCTCCCAGCCCGAGTCTGATCGCTGTGCTCGTAGCGGGGAGGGGCGGCCCAGTCGTGCCGCAGCCATGTCCCTGGGCACCGAGGAGCCGGCCTCGGAGACGGTAAGGAGGATGAGCCTCGCGTGCTGCCTACTGCGAAGGCCAGGTCCAGACGTGAGAACCTGAGCTTAGGGTCGGTGGCCGGTGGTGACCGCTGTCATTATTGTTACCGCATAAGAGCGGGTTTCAGACCTCCGCCCCGCATGCGGCCTGGCAGGACGTCGGCCTCAGCCTTGCTGCGCCCCCCATCTAGATCCCGCCCGCCCTTGCAGAGGCCGCCGCTTTCAGGAAGCCCCCGGGTTCGCTGCGCCCTAGCTGTGAGGCGCCTGCGAGTCTGCAGCTGCGGCCTGAGGGTGACTGAGCTCACTGTGTAAGTGCCTACTGGCGACTCCGGTCGAGACACCTCTGAGCCAAGGCCGAATGGAGTGATTAAGACGTGAGGGAGGAAGCCTCAGTGCTCTGGGATCCCAACCTGGACAGAGAAGGTTTTCCGGAGGTGATGCCAAAGCTTACTCCCTAGGGTGAGAGGGAACGGGCTTTCCGTTGGTTCTTTGCTAAGTAAATGCCTGCTATAATATGTGTTGGAGAAATAAGTGAATAAACTGCACACCAGTAGCGGGGAGAACAAGGCAATAAGCAGATACTGAAGAACATGTCAGAAAGTGAAAAAGCTATGCAGAAAATGCAGACACAAATAACAGGTGGGATTTGGAGAGCACCGCTTTAGATTGGGTGCCCTGCAAAGTCGCTCTGAGATGTGGACACTTGTGCTGGATCTTAGATAAGATGATGGCAGTCTGGCAAAGATTCAGAGTAGAGGGAACAGCAGGTGCAAAGGTCCCGAGGTGGGAAATTCATGTGATGCGTTCAAGAGAATGAAAGAAAGCTTGCTGGGGTCAAGTGAAGAAGGGGAGTGGATGGACATTGCTTTGGGCCTGATTACAGAGAAACTTGCTTATTATGTGAGGAGTTCAGTTTTATTGAAGGCACAAGGAAACTTTTGGAAGTTGCCGCATGGAGAGTGCTGTGCTCTGTTTGCTTCCTTCCTGCTGAGAGGCCCTCAGCAGGGCAGCCCAGAACTCACCCAGGGTAGGGGTACTTGGTGCTGCTGGCTCAGTTGAAGCAGTTTAAGTTCCTTCTGTCCCTCCAGGCACCAAGTCCTACATCATCTGGAAAGCCTGCCTGTCTACATGGCCCTTAGTTACTGTTCTTTCATCTTTAAGAACTGTTTGTGTTGTGATTACAAAAGTTATTCATGCTCCTTATAGAAAATTTGGAAAATTACCCAAAATCTGGCCACCCACAAAAACAACAACAAATAAACAAAAAACCAGTTACCATTTAGTGTATTTTCTTCTAGTATTTTTCCAATGCATCTTTTTTCTATACTTGTTCAAACTGAGATCATATATATTTATGTTGTTTTGTGAACCTTGCCATTTACTTTGGGATTAGCATTTCCCAGAGTCATACATTTTCAAGAACATGATTTTTAAAATTCTAACTCTATTTGATTTATCCACTTCCAGGATTTTACTTTTAAGTTTTCACTTTTTTTTTTGCTGTTGGAAACAATGTTGCTATAAATGTTCTTGTATGTAATAAACATTTATTAGCCATTTTATGTGTCAGGCTCTGTACTAGGCTCTGAGGACACACAAACAAGTTCAGATTTAGTGCCTTGGTCTCAGGGAATTCAGTCTAGAGAACACACTGGTGCTAAGCCCACTCTGAGTCTCCAGCCTAGGCTGCCTAACTTGTTTTTCTGTTGAGCTTGGATTAGTTCTCCTAAACCTGACAAGAACCTCTTGAGGGCAGCTAGTCTGTCCAGTCCATCTATTTCCACACACCCTGGCCCACCCCTCACTGCCATTCCCTTAAAGTAGACTTCCTCCGGCCTTGTGAACAGTAAGAGCACCTTCAGTGTACCAGGGAGCTTACTAGTAGTGACGGAGCAAGCCCACCTGACCACAGAGCAGAATCACATGCGTGAAGTGGCACTAGGCATGATTTTTAAATTTACTCACATCTTTATCAGTCTTCTATTTCATCTGCATATCTGATTAGAACTGGCTACTAGGGAATCTCTGAACAGTAGCAGGAGAGAATGAATAGGGATGTCGGGTATTACCTCATTCGAGGGAGCCAGACCCTTGCATCTTATTTAACTTTTCAGGTTTTCTTTCTTTTTTCTTTTTTTTATTTTTTTTAGGTTTATGCCATAGAGCACATGTGCTCACTAGAGAGAGACAGAGACAGAAAGTGAGAAATCACCCCCCCCAAGGGGGAATGGCCACGCTGCAATCCCTTCTCCTCCATTCTCCTCTCGTTCCATTCTCCTTTCGAGGTTTTGGGCACATGTGCACATGCCCTGGCGTGATTTTCAAGCCCCTGGATCAACCACATGGCAATCCAACACCTAAATCTCCACACCACCTGCTGGCCCCTATAGGGTTTCTTTTAGCATGTTAACTTCTAATATATTTGAAATTATTTTGGTATAAGGTGACAGGGAAGCATCTAACATTTTCCCCCAAATGGCCTACCAGTTGTCCTAACTCTAAATGGATTAACTCACTCTTTTCTATTAAAAAAAAAAAATTCCAGAAGGCACATGTGCATGCATGTGAAAGAGAGAGAGAACCCCCTGCAGTGGGGCCTGGTTATACTACAATCTTTCTCCCTTCAATTCTCCGTCTCATCAGGATCATAGGCACACACATGCATGCTTGCCCAACATACTTTTCAAGCCTTCAGACTGGGACTTGAGCTCTGGTAAGCCATGTGAGCTCCACCTTCCTTTATATAGCAGTTAACCACTGTGCTACGGGCCAGCCTAAAGAAATACACACACACACACACACACACATATATTTAAAGATATAATTCACATATCATAACATTCACTCATTAAAGTGTAGTGTACAATAGTTTGAGTATATTCATAAAATATTTTTCATATGCTAATAGATAATTCTTATATCTTCTTTAGAGAACTATTCAGATTTTTTGCCTGTTTCAAAAATTGGGATGTCAGGCCAGGTGGTGCAGAGGTTAAAGTGCCGGATCCCACATGGCCAACAGCCATGTACCAGACCCAGGAGCTTGAGGATCATGCTGGGCACATGTGTGTGTGTGTGTGTGTGTGTGTGTGTGTGTGTGCCCAAAATCTTTTTTTTTTTTTTAAGAGGTTTTTCTATAGGGCACGTGTGCTTGCCAGACTGACAGAGCGACACAGAGAGACAGAAAGCAAGAAATCACCCCCCAGGGGGAATGGCCATGCTGCAATCCCTTCTCCTCCATTCTCCTCTCAGGATCTTGGGCACGCACGCACACGTGCCTGGCATGAGTTTTAAGCCACTGGGTTTGGGACTCGAACCATGGTCAACTACATGGGAGTCCAGCGACATACCCATTACGCTAACTGCTGGTCCCTGCCCAAAATCTTGAAAGAAGAATGAAGGAAAAGAAACTGTGGTCTGGCTATCCCCTGGGGAGGGGGGTGATTTTTCACTTTCTCTCCCTCTGTCTCTCTTTGGCGAGCACACATATACCCTATAGCAAAAACTAAAAAAAAAAAAAAAAAGGGGGGTGCTTTTTAATTGAGTTTTAAGAATTCTTTATGTAATTTTCATACTAGTCCATTTCCACATATGTGAATTGCAAATAATTTCTCCCATTGTGATGGTTGTCTTTTGCTTGCTTGCTGGTCTCACTTTTTAGTTTTTGTTTTTTTCAGTGGATTGTTATTTGCAACACAAAAGGTTTTTTATGATAATTTACTTATTTTTTCTCTGTCATGTGTGCATTTAGAATCATATGTAAGGGAACCAGCAGTTAGTGTAATGGCTATGTCGCTGGACTCCCACGTAGTCGACCAC